TAGTTTTTCGATGTTTATGTCAACGCTTAGGCCGCCAATATTTCTCATAACTGTATTTGTAGTATCAGTATCATGCATATTCAACTTCTTTTAATACTAGATCAAAATGTCTATTGCATCTAATGATCTTGTAGTTAATCATTTGACTGTTTAGAGCATCTATTCGGTCGCATATACCGTTTAAGATGAATTGGATGTCTTATTGTTTATCTAAACCATTTAGACACGACTGTCTAAGCGACCTCTCAATTAGTCTTACCACCCAAGAAAGAAAACCCACGGCTATAAAAGAATATTTAGTATTTAGGGGAGTCGTTTAAAGATCCATCCAAATTGTGCTTTTAAAAATATATACTTGGAGTGTCCCATGTTATTCACTCGACCACTATTGTTACTTTGCATGCATAAAATATATGCATTAATCTTCCAATGAAACCAGTTTTCGATCTTTTTAAGAGTTGTAAATCCACCACCATTCAAATAGGTTCTCGAAAAGTTGCTTTAACAAAGTATAGGTCAACTGTACGGTTCATGTTACAATCGAAGCTTTGGGAGTGAAATTATAAACACGTTAGTTTTGGCTCATACGGAGTCTCAACTCTCAACCAACAATTCAAATATATTTCTGGTTTTGCATAAATTTATATTTTAGTATTTTCGTTAATTTTATTCTTTAGAAAAGCGATTTTTTTCAATTATATACATTGATTAAAAAACCGGGAAGATGATTTTGGTGATAAGATAATATACGAAGAATATTACTTTGGAATCTTAGCCAAGGTATATATTGATTAAATGCAACCGTTACAAGACAGTAGAAACATGAAGTAAATGTTATTTCATGTCGGTTACTTAATTAATCAGTGACCTTAACATGGGAAGATTAACTATGAACATGAATCATTGGTGTCAGTAAAAGAGCCTCTGCTGCAAGATAACAAAAATGGGGTTTTGATTACCAAGATATGTGAAAAAGAGGAATGTTCCAATTCCCTAGGGACAAATTTATTGACTAGGTACAAAAGGGAAACCTCAAGTGTTATTTAAATGATACCAATACGAAAATTAAAACTAAATACTTCTAAATAACCAATGTAAAGTCCAAAAGAGAATTGGATTTGCAAAGGTTCTTAAGATCAGATGAATAAGTAGAGTATGATTGTTATAAATTGGTTAGTTCCTAATTGTTGTAAAATGAGAAAATTCAATGCTGTAGTAATAGATGTTTATCAAAGGAGAAAAGTTTTTAAGATTAATCTGGATCTAGAGTTCTAATCCAAATACTATGGTGATCAAAATATAAATTCAGTAATCTGTTTTGGTTTTTTGCCAAAATAAATGAAATAAGACGTCAATATTTGCGTTTTCATAGGCCTTTTTTGAGCTGGAACATGTAAAGAGAAAAAGCGTTATAGCTGTGTTTGTATATATTATCAAATTCCCATGTGAGCATGTCATTTGCCTTGCATGCAATTGAGCTACACCAAGTGGATTTTATTTGTATTTTATCTCTTGGAACTCTGTGCATGATAAAAGACACACACACACAACATATAATGTAAATTTATAGTAGTATATGTGATTATAATCTTTTTATAATACATTTATCTTCTAATCTATTGAAGACATTGATAATGTTGTTCTGTCTGTAAAATTAACAATGTTTAGACCAAACTAATGCTTTCTGTCTACAACCATAGAGTGGACTTCACGATTTTGAACCTTAAATTTATGTCATGATAAAAATATTGAAACAAATCATGAACCTTTATATATTTTTAAATCATGTGTTCCCAAAGGGATAATCATGAACCTTTTAGATTCAGGCAAAATGTCAATAAACTTTTACTACTGTTGTTTACTCTTCAGTAATAAGCACAACAAAATCCACAGTTTTTTCACTTTTTCAAAACAAATCATCTAAAGAAAACTTTTTGAAAATCGAAAAAGTATGAGAGCCTAAAAAATTACTA